ATATATATATATATATATATGGAGGACCTGTGCTAAAAGAAGAAGAAAAAAAAAAGACTTTGAGAGAGATCTGAGGAAGAGATCTAGATTGAGGTGTGCAGATCATATGATGGTGCAGCAGGAGATCTGGGGAGAAGATCTAGATCAGATGATGGTGCATGCAATAGGTCGTGTGAGAAAAAAAGGAGGGCATGAGAGGATGTGCGGGAGAACTGCAAAAGCACATTCATGGATCGGAGATGGTTGAGAAGGTTGGGGAGGAGAGGCACATGTGCAATTCAAATGATGGAGCAGCAGGTCACACGCATCAAAAGAAAGCTAAGGAAGGCATGAGATCTACAGAAAGGCATAGAGATGGCTGAGTGGGGTAGTTGGTATATAAAGAACTTTTAGCAATATAGAATTATGTTGCTGAAAGTTTACCACCCTATCAACAACATACTCCATGTTGCTAAACCCTATTTGAATTTCAACTCCACTACTCATCACCAACATATACCATGTTGCTAAAACTTTATATCATTACGACTCCCGTCAGCCACACTATTGAATGAAAAAAAATAATTATATTTTAATTAATTGTTAATCTTTAAAAAATATAATTTATATTTAAATTTTAATTTATTAATTGGTTTTGTTTAATCAATTAAATTTTATTTAACACTTGTCAAATTAATATATATATAATTACATTATATATTAAAATTTTGAAATAATTAAAAACTCTATTTTCTTTAAAAAAAATGTGGACATACATATGAAGTTACATAGACGTTTCACATAAAAGTATCCTAATATTTAATTTGCCAATATATGACTTTTTAAAACTAACAGTAGACTTTTTTTTCATTAAGAGTCAACTCTTTTCAACCAAGAGTCGACTCCCAATAAGAAGAGTCGGCTATAGCCAACAACCCCATGGTTCTCAACTTTCTGGAATTTGGGAGTCGAATGTTGACCCTCTATAATTGACTCTTGAAGGCTTGAAAGTCGACTTTCTATACTTAGATTTGACTCTTTGCTACCCAAGAGTCGATTCTTTATATATACAGTTGACTCGGACCTAGAGCAAGATGTTTCTAACTATATGGAATTTGGGAGTTGAATTTTGAAATCCTATAGGCGACTCTTTAATGCTTTAGAATCAAAGCTGGATTTGTAAATTCGACTCTTTACTACTCAATATAAAGAGTCAACTCTGTCCTGAGTAGGGTTTTTGTCCTCCCCGTATTTCAGAAGTTGAATCTTTACCCTCCATAGTCGACTCTTGATAAAAAAGAGTTGAATATATGCTTTGAGAGCTGACTCTTTACTTGATGTAGTGCCAACTTTGCTAGCCAAATACAACAATTTTCTTAGCATCCAAACACAAAGTGAAACAAATTTTTCTTAGGGTTAAAGCCAACTGTAGTTCTCATACTTTGTGAAAATGTTCATTACCATCCTTTTACTAAGGAAATGTTCAATGTCATCCCTCTACTTTACTTACACCATAATTGTCATCCCTCTACTACTCTTTTTTTTGTTAGATGTCATCCTTAATTGGATGCCATCCATTTTGTTGTTATCTTTGACTGTTAATTGCCTAACGGTCAAACATTAAACTTTTGTTAATTAATTTTTTTTTATCTATAAACAGAATTTGTTAACTCTCTATTAAAATAAAAAATATTTATAAGACAAATTATCAAAAATTAAAAATGTAACAATTTAATTTCAAAAGTTCAAAAAATAAAAAAAAAATTAATAATTTAAAATAATTAATAAATGACTTTATCACGTATATGAGAATAATGTTAGATATCTACAATTAGGTCGAGTGATTAACTCAATCTAACTAAAGAAATCTAATTAAGATTAAAAAAAATTTATTGGCTATATTTTTCTGGTCTCTTAAATTTTCTATCTTAATTCAGTTAAGAAAATTTTCTTAATTTCAATTAAAACCCTTTCTCCAAATTAAGCTAATTGCTCGATTTGATTATAAATATATAATACTATTTTAGTATATGTGAAAAAGTCATCTATTAATTGTTTTTAGTTTACTAATTTTTATAATTTTTGAACTTTTATAATTAAATTGTTACATTTTTAATTTTTAAGGATTAATCCTATAACTATTTTATTCCAATTTTAACAGAGAATTAACAGATTCTGTTAATGTAGGTGCTAAAGCTAGAAAGAATAATATAGAACTAAAAAAAATAAAGAAAAAGGTCCCACTAGTTTCACTAGGTGGATAAAAAATTAATAAACAAAAGGTTATTCTAATTTGTGCTTTAAGAGTTATTCTAATTTGTGTCTTTAGGATTATTCTAATTTGTGTCTTCAAGATATCGGTTAAAAGTTTTTTTTAAAATAATATTTAATTTATCAACAGTCTAATTAAATTTATTTACATGACAATGGTAGTAAAATTAATGTTTACTTTTATATTTTCTTATACAAATTTATTACAAAAAAATATCATTAATATGTGCTCTTAAAAAAATTCATAAACAAAAGTTGAATATTTGACCGTTAGTATTTAACAGTCAAAGTTAACAGCAAAATGGATGGCATCCAATTAAGGATGACATTGAACAAAAAAAGGATAATAGAGGGATGACATTTATGATGTAAGAAAAGTAGAGGGATGACATTGAACATTTCCTTAATAGAGGGATGGTAATGAACATTTTGAAAAAGTATGAGGACTACAGTTGTCTTTAACCCATTTTCTTACTCCATTTCACATTAAAAAGAGTTCAAGTAAAATTTACATGTAAAAAAAATTGAAATGAAAATTCACAATTCCTAATATCTGGATTATTTGAAGCCAGATCTAACTTTCCACAAATCCATATTTACAACTCAATTTTCTCTTCCTTTTACATTTTAAATTCTAAATAACACAATTGCAAATCTAAAATTGCTACAGTTCACATATTCCCGACAACGCATTCGAGCATTCAAGAACAACATGTAAGATGGAGGAAAGGGGTTGATTCGAAGAAGAAAAGAAAAGAAGCTTTATGAACACAAACTCATATCTGTGTTTGTGAACCCAGATTAGGATTCATTAATACAAACCTAGATCTGGGGTTGTGAACCCATTTCTGGGTTCACGAACCTAGATTTGGGTGCATGACCATGAACCCATACAAAATAGATGAGAGGGGAAAGTAGAAAAAAGATGGAGGTATCAGCAACAAGGAGCATGTTGCTGAAAGTCACTTTCAGCAACATGCTCCTTGTTGTTGAAAGTTTTGGCCACTCACCCAATCAGAGAATTACATCAAAATTTTAGCAACATGGTCATTGTTGCTGAAAATTTAGGCCACTCACCCCTATCGGAGAATTACATCAAAATCTTAACAACATTAGCCTTATTGTTGAAATTCACTATTAACAACAAGAGACATGTTGCTGAAAGTTGAGTTGACTTTTTGGGAAATTAGTTATTCTATAAGTATCAGTAACATGGGCCTTGTTAGTGAAAATCTATATCACCAACAAGCAATTCCATGATGTTGATGGTTGATTGCTAAAAAGAGGGATTTAGTAGTGAGCTACAAGCTATTGTCTAATTAATAATTAAATCTAACAAAGTTTTAAAATAAACATATATATATATATATATATATATCTAGTTCATTGGGCATTAGGGTGTGAAGCCCCTGTAGTTAGAGCATTAGCTGGGCGGTTCCCTTTGCTCAGGCAATGCTAGATTCCAACATAAAGAAAGTTCATGCGACATTCTAATGGCAGGGAAGGATTTGTTTAAGGATTTTTTTTGTGACGGTGAGGATGTCATCAGACCATTTTTAATTAAATATGTTAACACTAATCTTTACTTGGACCATTTTAAAAATATACTTTCACATCATATGATTAAACAATGTTTCTCTTCATAAAATAATTATACGAATATGACAAGATGAAACTCTTTGTTAAATGCAGTATTAGGTTTATGATGAATCAGTGATCATATTTTAATTAGGAAACAGCAAGCCCTATGGTTACATCCATTGAACTCGATCTATTGATTAACTTCAATATTAATATACCTGTTTCAAGGGAAAACAAAAAAAATCAATCTTTCTACCATTTGCACTGTTAACTTCATAATGAATCAGTTTCGTCTTTACATGGCCAAAGAATTCCTTTTTAAAAAAAAAAAAACCAAAAGGATTAATATAGTGGAGATTGCATTGCCAAATGCATGAATTTCTAACTTTTTAGGTTTAAAATCGTGCAATTAATAATACTAATTGTCTATCTTTTTAAAGGTTCTTCCCTACCATCTTTTCCCCCATGCACAATGGCACATGGGTCTACATACAAAGACGGGGAATATGTCAAGAGATTGATTTTTGTTCTCTCTTCACATGGGCTGTTTACAGTGTTTTCCTTGAGTTTTTACGTCAAAAGTCAAAAGGTTCCCTAATGCTCTCTCCTCCTTTTGCAGCTTTTTTCCTTTGCTTTTGGAGGGAACTGCAACCTACCCATAAAGTCAGCCTTGCTTCATAATATTAATGGCAGCACCGTATTGTACTGTTCTCAACAGTAACATCAAATGTAAAATGTAATTCATAAAAAAGAGAAAATCTTTGTCCTTTTTTGGTTGGTTATGGACGTAAATTAAGATTTACTGAACAAATTTCTGGAAATAAGCTGGTGGAGGGGCGTTTTTGTTGCTTTTTTAGTTATGATAAGATAGTTTATCTGGGATTCTTAAGCTTTAATCTACTGCATTAGGTAGATGTAATCAAAGCTCTCTCATGGAAGGTTTGTTAAAGAGCAGTTTCCCTGTCAACTAACAATTAAAACACAGAAGCAGACGCCATAACCACTGCATTGCATTACGTTCAAAACCCCACTTCATAAACAGACCCATTTATACCCTCAGAAAAAAGAATTAAGATCTAAATGATTCTTTAGTTTCTTTGTGATTATTTTGGAGACCCAGTTCTACAATTTGTGTTCCTTTTTCTCTGAACCCAAAAAACACAAAACTTGGGGTCAATTCTAAGGCAGAAGCTGGAGAAATCTGAATTTGGGTAATAATGTCATGTTATCTGGTAAATTTTGTCAATTGTGAGAATTGTGTTAATTTTCATGTGCACAGATAAACATTCCATTTTGTTTCTTATGTTCCATATTTGGAACTTCAGTTATTTTTGTTTGTTTTTTTTTTTTTTTCTTTTAGGGCTAAATATAGACAGCACTGGAAGCACCAGAAAATCAGAACAGAAAAGGCAAAAACAGAGGGTTTTTGCAAAGAAGAATACAAATCCTTTGAAATCAATGAAGAATCTTCGGGAGAAATCAGACATTCTTGTGAATGGGACTGTGAATTTCAATTCTCAGTTCCGAGGTAAAAAAAAAAAAAAAAAATCTTGTCTTTTTTTCCTCCTATTTTAATAATTTTTCTTAAGAAATTCCATATTCAATTTTGTAACATGAGAAAAACCTTGACAGTCTGTAATTGGGGACCATTTTTAGAAAAGTCCAAACTTGTTGGATTAATTTAATTACATTGCATAAGCTTGGCGGTTCTTTGTTGTCTGAAAGAATAATTGTGGCTTATGATCGAAGAACGTGCATCTGTATTTCCAATTGAATAAAGAAAAGGAGATTAAGAAACAAAGTGGTGTGGTTTCTGGGTTGAGACAAAACACTGAAAAAAGTTGTGGGGAATTCAAGCATTTAGCATTAACTCATGATTAGTTGTGCTTGATGCAGACATGATTGCCGGTTGCCTAAAGGCTGGTGGGCCGTGTGTTTTCTATTGCCTAGGTCCCTTGAGTTAGTTGCATTGATTGAGCAGTGAGGTGAAAGTTCGTGGGGGGAGCTGAGGAAAAAGGAAAGGTTCATGTTTTTCACCACATCGTTTTGAATTTCATGTACATGGTTGTATTCCTAGCATTGTGTGGAGAGGAAAGGTGAGAGATGGGGGCGGACGGTGGAGAGGAGCAAATGCAGGAGGGGGCAGGCTGTGACGAGAGAATTTATGTTTCAGTTCGTCTGCGGCCTTTGAATGAGAAGGAAATTGCAAGGAATGATGTATCTGACTGGGAGTGCATCAATGAGAATACTATCATTTACAGGAACAACCTGTCAGTTTCAGAGAGGTCTATGTACCCAACTGCCTACACGTTTGGTAAGGAAGGGCTTAGATTTCAGTTTATGTAAATTAGATGTTCTTTATTTACTGCATCTATACTTAGAGACTATATTTTTGCTAAATCATATGAATTTCTAGAATTCTAGATGCTGATGTCATCTTAATCTTAATGTGCCAAAATGCAGCATTTGCTGCGAATTGTCTGTGATATCATGTTACTTACCTCTTCTATATTATTCCAAGGTTTGCTTCATGTCTCCTTGAACACCCCAGAGAAAAGGAAAGGAAAGAAGATGTTTTGCTTCAGTTGGTTTCCAAAGTAGGAGTTTGGATTTCTTCTGTGATTTTAGTTTTATTATATGCTATTCTATGGAGATTTTCCTCACCACTTTGTCTTTTAAGCAATAACTTTTCAGTTATAACATTATAAACCAGGTTTTGAGAATATTGAGTAACTTGCAAATAAAATTAATGAGGTCAGGTGGTCTATTGGTTGCTGCAGTCTTGGTTTTTTGGAAGGAAGATAGCAGTGCGGAGACAGTTCTTCAACATTTGATCATGCATAGAGTTTGGCATCATAGATTGCTCATAGTCTGTGATCCTTTTTATTCTGTTCAATTTATGATGTCTCTGGTTTTGAATTGTAGACAGAGTTTTTAGCTCTGATTGCTCCACCAGGCAAGTTTACGAGCAAGGAGCCAAGGAAGTTGCTCTTTCTGTTGTCAGTGGTATAAACTGTGAGTACCTTTTTATCTCTCCTGTTGGTACTCATAAACTTCATTTATAGTTTCCAATTCTAAACAGTAAAACTTTTTTTCAGCAAGTGTTTTTGCTTATGGACAAACAAGCAGTGGAAAGACATTTACAATGAGTGGCATTACTGAGTACACCATGGCAGATATATATGACTACATAGAGAGGGTAATGAAAAACGCCAGCTAGTTGCTTGCATTTCGTTAGTCTTCTCTTCTATTTCTTATTTTCTCTCCTATTTCTTGAAATGAAAATCATTTTCCTGCAGCACAAGGAAAGAGAATTCATTATGAAATTCTCCGCTCTGGAGATTTACAATGAATCTGTCAGGGACCTCCTCAGTGCAGACAGCACTCCACTTAGACTTCTGGATGATCCAGAGGTGACTTCTGTCTTTTTATCTGTGAAAGTTATACACTATGTATTCATCACACTAATAGTTAGCTATTTTATAGAGAGGGACCGTTGTTGAGAGACTCACGGAGGACACTGTCCGGGATTGGAATCATTTCAGAGAGCTTCTATCCATCTGTGAAGGTAAGAAGGTTCTAGTCTGATTTTTCTTAATTAGTCAGTGATTTTATACTTGACAATGTCCAAATGCATGTTGACAGCTCAAAGACAAATAGGAGAGACTTCTCTAAATGAGACAAGCTCTAGATCTCATCAAATCTTGAGAGTGGTACAGTTTAATTTGGCCATTTCTTTACAAAATTTCAAATTTGGTTTGGTTAAAAGTTAAATGAGTCTCCTATCTCTGAATCATATGCTTATCTTCTTCCATCAGACAATTGAAAGTTCTGCACGTGAGTTTTTGGGCAATGACAAATCAAGCACTCTTACTGCCACGGTGGTAAGAAACTAGACAATTTTGTAGTTAAAGATTCAAATAATCAACTGTTAGAAAGCTGCTGATACAGCCATTCTTCTTTTTCCAGAATTTTGTTGATCTTGCAGGAAGTGAGCGTGCATCTCAGACACTATCTGCTGGTACAAGATTGAAAGAAGGTTGCCATATAAATCGTAGTCTATTAACTCTTGGGACTGTTATCCGTAAGCTAAGGTAAGCTTTGAATCTGAATCTTTTGCATGACTCTAGCACTATGACAAAATCCCTGCATGTAAAACCAGCAACCAATTGATTGCAACTAGCATCTTTCTTTGCAATTATGTTCTTTAATTTATATCATGTGATCAAGCATATCAGGTTGCTGTGACTGATCTTTTTCCTTGTTTTTGAAGAAAAGAAGCATTCTATATCAAAAGACTTGTTAATTAGTTACATGAGCCTTCCCATTAAGTATGCCCCAAACTTTATTAGTATAATGTCTGCCTGGCATCATCTTCACCATTTTGGAAGTGTATGAGGGGATTAGTATTAGCACTGTTGATATGTTCTTTCAGAACTCCACTCTCACATGCTTGCTGTTGGAAAAAAACTCCATTCTCATACTTACTGCAAATCACGTATGCATATTTTTTTAATTGTTTCTGCACATGTACCTGTCTCTGGCGACTTATTGCAGTCCCTTGCCCCTTTGTTTCATACCTTAATGTTTATGTATCTGAATCACAAAATGAAAAATAGTTACTGTATCTGTCAATAATTGGTATAAATTTATGGCCAAATGCAGCAAGGGTAAAAATGGGCATGTTCCATTTAGAGATTCAAAGCTGACCCGCATACTTCAGTCCTCTATAGGAGGCAATTCTAGAACTGCTATCATCTGTACCCTTAGTCCAGCACGTACCCATGTTGAACAATCAAGAAACACCCTCTTGTTTGCAAGTTGTGCTAAAGAAGTAGCAACCAATGCACAAGTCAATGTTGTCATGTCTGATAAAGCATTGGTGAAGCAATTGCAGAGGGAATTAGCTAGATTGGAGAATGAGTTGAGAAGTGCAGGGACAGCTTCTATTCTGCCTGATTCTGCTGCGATACTGAGAGAAAAGGACCTTGAGATTGAAAAGGTAATTAAAAGGACTTATTAAAGTTTCAAGGTACCATAAGTGTCCTATGACTGCAATATCTAGATAAGTGCAATACAGTTAGGTAAAATGTTTGAAGGCCATATTAGTCAGGAATAACAACTTCTTTTTTAAGCTGAATTCCTTAATTATTATGTTCATTTTCTTACATGATCTATCCAGCTAAAGAAAGAGACAATTGAGTTGAGTCAGCAACTTGACAATGCTCGGTCTGAGGTTGAGGCCCTGCGACGAGTGGATGGAGATGAAAGACTCATCAAAGAGGAAAGATCTTCAACAGTATTTGTATGTGTGGATTACTTAATATTTGATCTTCTTTAAGGTGAATTAACTAACATATCCTCCTTCTGCAGGCTGGTTTTGACAATCAATATCCTAAATTGCGAATTCGAAATTCATGGGATTATGAAAACCCAACGACTGAGACACCTGTTTTTGCTGTCCCTCATTGCCAAGATGTTAGTTTTAGATCATTCACCCCATCTCAAGTTTCAGATAGACAGAGCTGTAGTTCTGAAGAGAGCTTTCTCCGGCTCCCTGTCCTCAGAGTGAATATCCCACATGGCACCTCCTCCTTACCGGAATCTCCTAAAATTCCAAATTTTGAAGGAAGTGATCTGCCTCGCAAGGACAATGAAGAGAATGTTGATGAAAATTCTGAGGATCCTTGCAAGGAAGTGAGATGCATTGTCTCAGAATCAAGCATCATATATACAGGCTTGAACATGCCTGTGGCCAGTCCAAACAGATCTGAAAATTCAAATATGTCATCCTTTGGATTAAACAGAAACAGATATGAAAATTCAAATAGGTCATCTTCTGGATTAAATGCAGCTATTTCGGTATTGACAGATGTTGACAATGAAGATACGGTTTCCATGTCTCCCCTCTCAAATGGACAAAAGCAAAAGGAGCCAGATAGTGTCCATTGGGAATTTTTTACACCATCTTCTGAAAAGCCATCTTATCCATGGCTTGTGGAGAAAGAGATGTCCAGCTGCAGCAGCTTGAAGTTAACAAGGAGTAGAAGTTGTAAAGCAAGTATAATGACTGATATGACTTTGCCCTCATGTGAAAGCAAAGAAAAGAATAGCAGCACACCTACTATAGGGTGTGAGAAAGATGTTACTGGAAAACCAGGGACTATACAAAGAAAAATCTGTGCATTCAAGTACAGTTTTGAGAGTTTGTCAAGGAATGCATCTCAGAATTCTTCACAGACTGGTGATGATGATGAACTTAAAGCCCAGAATGTCACAACTCCATTTGAGAAAAAGCTTGCTGATCAAGCAGTGAGTGTTTTGTTCCATCAACTATTGTTAAGATTCAGTTAAAAACAGGATCTCCATTTATAGGATGAATATCTAACTGTGAATCCAGTCTTTTTTGGATGGAAGTTGTAAATATCTAGTTATTCTCACATCCATTTTCATGAGTGACAGGTACAAGTGACAGAACCAGAGCTGGAGCACACTCTCACTAAAAAGACTGTAAAAGATGTAGGCCTGGACCCAATACAAGATAATATGGGAAGCCCCTCTGCATGGCCTTCAGAATTCAATAGGATTCGAGGAGAGATTATTGAACTCTGGCAAGCTTGCAATATTTCGTTGGCCCACAGGACCTACTTCTTTTTGCTATTCAAAGGAGATCCAAAAGATAACATATACATGGAGGTTGAGCTGAGGAGGCTGGCATTCCTCAAGGAAACATTTTCGCGAGGTAACCAAACTGTGGAAGATGGACAACCACTGACCACTGATTCAAGGTATGTTACATCGCTAATTATACCCCACCAGATAATGGCAACTTTCTGTTAAGTTCTTATCATTCTGTTCTGCTGTCTAGTAAAGTGGAATGTATCTTAATCAATTGCTCCTTCTGAGCAGTGAGAAGGCTTTACGCCAGGAGAGGCTTATGTTGAGCCAACAAATGCGGAAGAGGTTCTCTGAAGAAGAAAGAGATGGCCTCTTCCTTAAGTGGGGCATAGGGTTGGACACAAAGAATAGGAGATTGCAGTTGGCTCACCTCTTGTGGACTGACACCAGAGATATGGGGCACATTGCAGAGAGTGCAGCCCTTGTTGCTAAGCTGGTTGGTTTTGTAGACCAAGATAAGACTTTCAAGGAGTTGTTCGGGCTCAAATTTGCACCCAAACAACGAGCAAGCAAGAAGTATGATCACTTCAAACGCATACGCAGTTTGATGTCCATCGTACTAAAAACTTCCTCCTAGTTGACTGATTATCTCTATCAGTCCATTACTCATTTCAGTTTTGTTTTGATCTTTACGTGTGTCTATTCCTGTACTTATTTCTGCTGATTGTGAGAGTTTGTAAATTAACTCTTACTAGAAATCACATTAACACTTAAATATTTGGGACAATGGAGGATGCTATTCTAAATGACCTTCTCTGTTTTTTAACATATTTGTTGCTTATTGGGAATTATCCACATTTCTAAAATTTTGTTATTGAGAAAAGTCTCATTCAGTTTCAACCAATAAAAAGTGACAGGACAATCACAGTCATAGGATTTGGCTAAACTTACCATTTCCCTCACATCCTATGACTTTGCTTGTTTGAACTAACATTTTTTTTACTATTATTATTTTGCAATTCAAACCCAAAAAAAAAGGGAAAAAAGAAGAAGAAGAATAAGAAGAAGAAGAAGAAGAAGAAGAAGCTAATCTCTTATATTCTCCTGTTAACATGACAATTCTGATTGATATTTGGAGCATAGCTTAATCCATCTGAATCCCAAAATATTCATTAAGAGTTAAAACTTGAAGTCATACCCTCAAGGTTTGAACCATAAAAGTAGTTTGGGATTCTTGATGGTCTGCCTTCAAATGGGCCTTAATGTTTGGTACAAAAAGTAACAGCCACTTATGGGCTTGAATCTGCATGTTTGGTCCTGTGCTGACCATATTCATTAGCTCAGCCATTAATGAATTTTTTGAGTCTTGAAGAACCTTCAAGAGGCAATTAGGCAGAGTAAAGTTTCTGGTTATAATGATCCCTGAGCTTTGAACATTTCATTATAGCAAAAGTTAAAAAAAATAACCATCTTTCGCAAACCAATCACAAGAAGTTGACCAATGATTTAAGTAATTTAATGATTATTTTTTTTCGTTGGAAGTAAGAATTCTTAAATTCAAATCACATGGTATGTAGGTAAGGTGAGATAAGAGATGATTGTTTTTCTATATGTAAAAAAAAAAAAAAATCACAAGAAGTTGGTGAAGTGTCTCAAAACCAACTCCCGCTAAGCATAAAATAATTCAAAATTTCCACCAATAAAAAGCTTGCTAATTGTTATCATCCCCTTCCCCAAAATTCAATTGTTTCCAATTAGTAGATCCTTTTACATCATTCAAATAGTTGTGGGGACTACCAAGTTCTGTTTACCCTTTTGCCTTGTTGGGGCAATCTTTTTTGTTTTTTCGATTACCTTAGTAATTGAAACAGTGAAAAGGGTTTGCCAAAAGTTTGAAAAATGATTTCAGAATCAGGGAAAGATTGCAGGAAAATGTCAAATATGAAAAAGAAAAAACAGAACTACAAAAGAGTAAGTGGACTCAAGGGTTGCATCAAAGCCTTACATAATCATGTCATTTAAGAAAAAGCATATAGTCAATGTCCTTTAAATTCCAAGGACAATGAGAAGAATAAAATATTAACATTTTTTGAAATGAGAAAAATTAAAATATTTTAATAATTAAAATAATAATAATAATAAATGTTTATTTTTAAGTTTTTAAAAAAATTATTAGTTGTTCACTCAATTATAATATAAGGAAGTATTAATTATTAATGATTAACTATATTAAAATATATTTATAATTCATTAAAATTATTTAAAAAATAGCACAAAATATTTTTGAGGTTAAATGCTAAATTTGGTCCCTTAACTTTAAGAAATGCACATTTTTGATCCCTCAACAATTTTTTGCACTTTTTTGATCCCTCAACTATACGAAATGTACTCCGTTAGTCCTTCTATCAATTTGAGCCGTTAAGTCCGCCATGTGGCATTTTTTATGTTTTTTTTTATGACATGGCAAAAATAACATTAAAAAATGCTGATTTGGAATTTATTTTGATGATGTGTTCGGTGCCACCTCATAAATTAAATTTATTGAGGATTTATATTTTTAATAAAAAATAAAAAAGCTCGACTCATCTTC